CAGAGGAAACTCCAGAACAGTGTGTGACTAGTATAAATGAAGCACTGCAGCTGCTTTCTCAGAGTGTGTGTGTCCAGATGATGGAGGATGATGTTGTGCGGCTCTCGATGTTCTTCCTCTTTTACAGGAGAATAAAGTCCTGCAGGTCAGAGCGACACGAGCGAGAGAGAAAGTGTGTGTGTGTATCTGTGTGTAGAGGAAAGGCTTTGTGTTATACTGATGTGTGTGACACTGTGTGTGCGTGTGTGTGTGTGTGTGTGTTTACTGCTGTGATTGTGAGTTATTCTTCAGTAATTCAGTGTTCTGCAAATGTCAGTGACTCTCACACCTCTGTGTTCATGATATTGGTAATGAAGTGTGTGTGAATGTGATGATATTCTTGACGTCCTCGGCTGTGTGTGTGTGTGTGTGTGTGTGTGTTCTCTGATTCTGCAGGACACAAACACACTGAGAGAGTCATGAAAAAGATTTATATTGGCAAAACTGCCCTGAAAGCGCAGAGAAATGGTAGTAAACATCAGAAGAGGAGGTAAGAGTGTGTGTGAGAGAGCAGCAGTCGACCGTCCACCGTCCACACACCCTCCACGTACACACACACACTCCAGAAAACACTCCATCTGAACACATCTGCACTAGAGACTCTACTGAACTCTCTCTATCTCTCTCTCTCTCTCTCTCTCTCTCTCACACACACACACACACACAAATACATACACACTCACTAGACCGATCGCACACAAGGAAAACAAATACACACAGACACACTAACACTCTGTCTGCTCTCCTCATCTTCAGTCCTCATCAGTCAGTGTGTGTGTGTGTGTGTGTGTGTGTGTGTGTGTGTGTGTGTGTGTGTGTGTGTGTGAGTGTGTGTGTGTCTTATTTCCTGTACTTTTATCTAAAAGCCTGAATCAGAGCAGGTTGTGTCGTGTGGAAACACTAATAAAAGGACAGCAGTGATATCTAGATGTACTTTGACTCCGCCAACACAACAAACATGATTAGTGTGTTCCTCATTATTTATGTTGTGTTTTTAATAAACACCTGTTCCCCTTTTGGTTCTCGCAACACACTTTTTTTTAACAACTTGTATCAGTAAAGCATGTCCCACTGTGCACCGCTGCCGTTTATCTTCACAACACTTGAAGACGGTTAGGGACCGAGTGCTGAAGGGTTTCAGGTGTCATTTCGTCCCATTCTTCTTGCAAACTAGTCTTCATTGTCAGATTTTCCTCTTCTAAATGCGCCACACATTCTCTATTGGAGACAGGTCAGGGCTGCAGGCAGGCCAGTGCAGTGTCGGTCTCCTCTTCCTCTGCAGCAGGACTCTGTAATGTGAGCTGAATGTGGTTCTGCATTGTCTTGTTGGACTCTGCATGGGCGTCTCTGCAGCAGAAGGCAGCATATTGAGCTCCAGAATCTCTCTGTGCTGTTCAGCATTACTGGAGCATCACAGAAGAGCAGGTCACCCAGGTTAACCCCAGACCATGACAGAGCCGGGCTTCTGGACCTGTTGCTGGTGACAATCTGGATGATCCTCTTCTTCTTTGGTCTCGAGCACACGGCGTCCATTTCTCCCTGAAACACCTGAAACACTGCTTCATCTGAGCACAGCACACGTCTCCACTGTGTGATGCTCCATCCCAGATGCCTTCGAGCCCAGAGAAGTGGACGGCGCTAGTCAAACTCTTACTAGGGTTTAGAAACATCCTTGCAGGTGTGTTTAAGCATGTCGGAGCTCAAATCTGCAGGACACCGGCCCTCCAGGACCGAGTTTGGACATGCCTGGACTTGAGCTTTCCTGATGCTGCTTTTGTAGCTGATCATCATCACCATCACCTGTGGACATCACCTGTGTCACATCATTATCCAGCAGATCACCTGATCACTGCCCTGATCTGATCCTGCCTCTGGTTCTGGAGTGTGCTGCAGGAACCAGTATTAAAATGTGTTTATTTTGAAACTAAAAACAATAATAATCCTGATGTTAATAATGTTTCCTGTATTGTCTGCATCAAACACAAGTCAAAGTACACGAGAAATCCCTGCTCTCTATTTTACCTGCGTTTTCCACACTGGCCCAGTGTTTTCTGATTTGGGGTTGTATAACAGCTGAACGGATATTCTTTGTGTATCTGTGTGTGTGTGTGTGTGTGTGTGTGTGTGTGTGTGTGTGTGTGTGTGTGTGTGTGTGTGTGTGTGTGTGTGTGTGTGTGTAGCTCAGCTTCAGTCTCAGCGCAGGAGCAGAAGGAGGATCTGCGCAGGCGTCTCTGCTGCTCCACACAGAAGCTCCAGCAGCTGCAGAGAGAGTTCGAGTCCACACGAGTCTACCTGGAGGCGGAGCTGAGGAGAGCACAAGACCAGCTGGACACCTTCACGGAGAAGCTGCGCAGGTCACACACACACACACACACGGAAACTCATTGGTCTCTGTCATACACCCGGCGTAATACGGCACAAGACGTGTGTGGCGTGATGTGTTGCTATTTTCAGAGCAGCGCAACAGTCACTTTCCTGTTTTGCTCCACAGTGTTTACATATTGAATCCATATGCGCCACTGTGTGGACTCATGGGTGTGCTGCTCTATAAAGGAGGTGTGTTGAGGCGCATTGTGGAGCGCTGCTATTCTGAGCAACTGCAATAGACCAACAGCAGCATTCACCAACAAACAGCAGCTCTAAAGTCCAGCGCAGAGCTTTTGTCATTTAAAGAGCACATTAGTTATGAACCTATGGGGATCCAAAACATGTGTACACATTGCCTTTAGGCCGGGGCTGTCTTTAAGGGAAGGAATAACAGTCATTTAGGGCGGGTCTATTAGTCATTTAGGGTGGTGCTATCAGTCATTTAGGGCAGGACTATAGGTCATTTAGAGCAGTAATATCAGTCATTTGGGGCGGGACTATAGATCATTTAGGGCGGGACGATCGGTAATTTAGGGCGGGACTGTCGGTCATTTAGGGCAGGTCTATAGGTCATTTAGGGCGGGAATATCGGTCATTTAGGGCAGGTCTATAGATCATTTAGGGCGGGAATATCAGTCATTTAGGGTGGGACTATAGGTCATTTAGGGCGGGACTATCAGTCATTTAGGGTGGGACTATAGATCATTTAGGGCGGGAATATCAGTCATTTAGGGTGGGACTATAGGTCATTTAGGGCGGGACTATCAGTCATTTAGGGCGGGACTATAGTTCATTTAGGGCAGGACTATAGGTCATTTAGGGCGGGACTATAGGTCATTTAGGGCGGGGACTATCGGTCATTTAGGGCGGGACTATCGGTCATTTAGGGCGGGACTATAAATCATTTAGGGTGGGAATATCAGTCATTTGGGGTGGGACTATAGATCATTTAGGGCGGGACAATCGGTAATTTAGGGCGGGACTGTCGGTCATTTAGGGCAGGACTATAGGTCATTTAGGGCGGAACTATAGGTCATTTAGGGCGGGAATATCGGTCATTTAGGGCGGAACTATAGGTCATTTAGGGCGGGAATATCAGTCATTTAGGGCGGGACTATAGGTCATTTAGGGTGGAACTATAGGTCATTTAGGGCGGAACTATAGGTCATTTAGGGCGGGACTATAGGTCAATTAGGGCGGGAATATCAGTCATTTAGGGCGGGTCTATCAGGTCTTTGGGTGAGGGGGGAGGGGGGGGGGCTATCAGTCATTTAGGATAGAGCTGTTTGTCAGTGTTTTCTTTTAGTCATAGACCTCTGCTTTTGGTCATATGCATCAACAGTCTGGATTTATATTTGCCCCTCACAGTAATACCTGTAAAATATGCTGATGATTTAATAATCAATGGGATCCTCACCGGGCCTTGGATTCTGTTGTGGAATGGGGAGAGAATATTAACCTAACAATGAGTGGAGCTAAGACTGTGAATATTGTAATAATGGCAGAAGAGAGATCAACATTCCCTCCCCCTCCTCTCCTGTTGTCTCAGGACATATATGGGCAGGGGCGTAGCACCAAATTCTGGGCCCTGTACCCTCTCAATGTCATTTTTTTTTTTATTATTTGAATATAAACATGCACAAATAGTGTTCTAATCTATAATCAAATCAGATTATAATAGTGACTGGTTCTTTCATTCACCACCAAATTGATGCATTTGGCCTACTTGTGCTCAAATACCTTTAAACCGTAGGCTACATCGGGTTTGTGTACTGACATTTTGATCCATGATACTGATGCAAGTTTTGATTTAAAAACATTTATTTTTGAACAGGAGAACACGAGACAACTGTACCCACAGAAACAAATCAAATAAGCTAAGCCTGCCATAATACAAATCGTCAACTATCAAAAAATAAATAAAAGTCAAATGAGATGTAATCTACATCCCAGTAAATCCCCACTGACGAGTCTTTTGACGTCTGCATTCACATCTGCAAGACATCTACAAGACGTTACCTATCAGATGTGAAATAGACTTCTATTAGACATCTTTAAGATGTTTGCGATTCAGAATGTGTGTAAAACTGACATCATACAGACGTCTGCCAGACGCTTGTATACAGCAGGTGCTTTCCAGATCAAGAGATCTTTAACAGACATCTTGCAGACATATACAGACACAAAATATCTAATACAATGGCATTTCAACCTTTATACCATTAAAAGGGATAAATCAAGTATATAATTTCTTATATTAGTATTACTTAATTGTTTAGATTTTTAAAAGGCACATTAACTTCTTTCACATTTACACATGGATCGATAATTGCAATAATTTGACCATAAACAGCTGAAAAAATTTATTGGAAAAAAAAAATCATTTAGTCATTTATGTCCACTTTTCCCCCCACTACCACGCCCATGTATATGGGATGTCCATGTTAAGTACATGATTTGTCAGAGAATATACTCTCTCTGTGAAGCCAAAACAGCAGGTCATGACCTTTGTGAACTTCGTGACCTTTATACGGCCAGTTCTTGAGTTTGCCTGTCCAGTCTGGGGTGGACGACCCAAAGCACTCTCTGAGGAGTTAGACAGGATCCATAAGCGATGCTGTCAGATGATGATAGCTATTCTGACTTCACTTCCAACACTGAGTGAAAGGCATGAGGATCCACCAAACGTACTCTCACTAGATACCCAGACACAGAGTATCTCCACTGCACTGCTATCTCCTGCTTACAGTGTCATCTTAGCTTCTTCAGCAGCACAACACATTTGCTACACCCAGGAGGAAACTAAACGTCCTGAACTCTCCTTTATTGTTGGATGTTTTTTAATGATTGTTTTGACTTTATCATTTTGAATATTATATTAGTATTTTTATTAGTCAAATATTGATTCAAGTGTGTGTTTGACACGTTTCAGGGAATTGTGCTGCAACACACCGCACTGTCAAACTTTAACTAAACTAAACTATTAGGGAATTTAATGTTACTTTGAAATAGAATTGAAATATTGAGTAAGTATCTGCCAGAGGAGTCAGAATACAGAAGCTCCTCTTTAAATGAGAGTTATTCCTCTGACTCCGATGGCCATCTCTGTTCTCAGATCTCGCGTCTGATTGTCCAGTCTGTTTGAATATGTTCATTTGTGTTTTAGAATATATTTCTTTAAGCTATGAATGTGCAGTGTGTGATTCTCCTTCTCTACAGGATTCAGAGCAGCTACGCGGCGCTGCAGAGAATAAATCAGGACATGGAGGAGAAAATACACAGAATGGTAGGAGAATCTGCTCGCATCTAGAGGAATATAAGTGTACTATATCAGTGCTGGAGATCAATAGCAGACTCTCACAGAGATCACTGCACATCAGAGAGACGTCAGGGTTTAAATCTGTGTTTATAAGATGATGATCATTCAACACGATGTACATCACACTGGAGGATCCCGTATTATTCATTAACTGATCAACTGTGTTCACTCTGCAGATATTCACTTTAAAATACTATATCAGTGCTTTAGAGCGGGGCTATCAGTGCTTTACGGCTGGACAATCAGTCCGTTAGGGCGGGACTATCAGTGCTTTACGGCGGGGCTATCAGGAATTTAGGGTGGGACCATCAGTTTTTCAGGCCAGGGCTGTTTCTCAGTATGCGTTCTTCAGCAGTCTTGCGTCCTCGTGTTCTCGTGCAACGTCATCATCAGCTGCCTAAGTTCAGTTATAAAACTCAAGACTGCAAGTACGGAGGACGCGTGAAACTTCCCGGATGTGTTCTTGATATCGAGGACGCACCGATGCAGACTTCAGCAGCGAGCTCGCTCTGGAAGTCCCAGAAGTCATTGCGACTGGAGATGGGAAGCGCTGCATTTTATTTAGATTTATTATTAAAGTTCAGAGATATCACTTATTTACCTCAGGAGTTTCCCTAAATGAAACGGTGAAAGTAAACATTAACATGGATATCTTAATAAAGGAATAAACACATTAAGGGTGTTTGTTTGATGAAATTCGTATTAAAATCTGTTTTATTTATTTTGTGCAGATTATATTTATAATGTTTTAATGCAAAGTATATATTTTGAAGAGGGGAAAAACAATAAATCGTTGTATGAAGGCTGTAATGTTTAAATAATTTCCCATTTAAAACGTGTGAAGGTCATGTGACCATCAGGAAGAACGCAGCATCCCATTTCTCAAAGGACGCATTCTCTGCCCCTCGCCGTCTCGTGAGTTTGTTCTTCCGAGGACACCTGGCAAGGCCGCTCTCCTCAAGAACCCAAGTCCGTTCTCTGCGTTCTTGGAATTGAGAAACAGCCCCTGACTATTAGTTATTTAGGGCGGGACTATCAGTGCTTTAGGGCGGGACTATGAGTCATTTAGGGTGGGACTATAAGTGCTTTAGGGCGGGACTATCAGCCCTTTAGGGCTTACAATCAGTACGTTAGTGCAGGACTATCAGTCATTTAGGGCAGGACTATCAGTCCTTTAGGGCGGGACTATGAGTCATTTAGGGTGGGACTATCAGTGCTTTAGGGCGGGACTATCAGTCCTTTAAGGCGGGACTATCAGTTTTTTAGGGCGGAACTATCAGTCATTTAGGGCGGGACTATCAGTCCTTTAGGGCGGACTATCAGTTCTTTGGGGCGGGACTATCAGTCCCTTAGGGCGGGACTATCAGTTCTTTGGGGCGGGACTATCAGTTTTTTGGGGCGGGACTATCAGTCCCTTAGGGCGGGACTATCAGTTCTTTGGGGCGGGATTATCAGTTCTTTGGGGCGGGACTATCAGTCCCTTAAGCAGATCGCACACGCAGCGCCACGCAGCGCCATGTATTTTAGAATTCTAAACATAGGTTTCTATCAGGATACACACACCGGCGCCGCAAGTCGGCGGCGCCCGGCGACGGCTCAGGACTCAGTTCATTTTTCAGCCGCGCCACAGAGCGCCATCTGATTAGTTTCATGTTAAATATCATTCGAATGTGCGCGTCTGGTGTGTGATACTTTAAACTGTCATGTACGCGCCGTGTCGCGGCGCCGAGCGGCGCTTCTGGTGTGCGACCTGCTTTAGGGCGGGACTATCAGTT